GTGCGGGCTGGGCGGCGGCGCGGCGGGTCCCGGACGCCGCGGTGGTCCCGGCCCGGGCCCGGTCCCACCTCCGTTCCCCCTCTTCCCTCCTCTCCCTCCTCTCCCCAGCCAGGCCTCCTCCGGGGTATGAAAATCGGCAGCGGCTTCCTGAGCGGCGGCGGTCCAGGCAGTAGCGGTGGTAGCGGCTCCGGTGGCGGCTCCGGCGGCGGCAGGAGAGCAGAGATGGAGCCCACCTTTCCCCAGGGTATGGTTATGTTCAACCACCGGCTTCCCCCGGTCACCAGCTTCACCCGGCCGGCGGGGACGGCCGCCCCTCCCCCGCAGTGCGTGTTATCCTCCTCTACCTCCGCAGCCCCAGCCGCTGAGCCCCCCCCTCCGCCAGCCCCGGACATGACTTTCAAGAAGGAGCCGGCGGCGTCAGCCGCGGCCTTCCCTTCGCAGAGGACCTCCTGGGGATTCTTGCAGTCCTTGGTGAGCATCAAACAGGAGAAACCCGCGGATCCCGAGGAGCAACAGACCCACCACCACCATCACCACCACCACTATGGGGGGCTGTTTGCTGGGGCTGAAGAGAGATCTCCAGGCCTAGGAGGCGGGGAAGGGGGGAGCCACGGCGTCATCCAAGACCTCAGTATTCTCCACCAGCATGTCCAGCAGCAACCAGCCCAGCACCATCGTGACGTATTACTGAGCAGCAGTAGCAGGACTGATGACCATGGCAATGAGGAGCCAAAGCAGGACACTAATGTCAAAAAGGCAAAGAGGCCAAAGCCAGAATCTCAGGGAATCAAAGCCAAGAGGAAGCCAAGTGCATCTTCCAAACCTTCTTTGGTTGCAGATGGAGAAGGTGCCGTCCTCTCCCCAAGTCAGAAACCTCATATCTGTGATCACTGTAGTGCTGCTTTCCGAAGCTCCTATCACCTGCGGAGACATGTCCTCATTCACACCGGAGAGAGACCCTTCCAGTGCAGCCAGTGTAGTATGGGTTTCATTCAGAAATACCTACTGCAGAGACATGAGAAAATTCACAGTAGAGAGAAACCCTTTGGGTGTGATCAGTGCAGCATGAAGTTTATTCAGAAGTACCATATGGAGAGACACAAGAGGACACATAGTGGAGAAAAGCCATATAAGTGTGACACTTGCCAACAGTATTTTTCAAGGACTGACAGATTGTTGAAGCACAGGCGCACATGTGGTGAAGCCATAGCAAAAGGAGCTGCTAGTGCAGAACCTGGGTCATCAAACCATAACAATATGGGTAATCTGGCTGTGTTGTCTCAGGGAAATACAAGCTCTTCAAGGAGAAAGTCGAAGTCAAAAAGCATAGCTATTGAAAATAAGGAACATAAGACTGGCAAAACAAATGAATCACAAATTTCAAATAATATAAACATGCAGAGTTACTCAGTAGAAATGCCAACTGTGTCTACCAGTGGAGGCATAATTGGCACTGGTCTGGATGAACTACAGAAAAGGGTGCCAAAATTGATCTTTAAGAAAGGCAGCAGGAAGAATACAGATAAAAGCTACCTTAATTTTGTCTCACCATTACCAGACATAGTTGGGCAGAAATCCTTGTCTGGTAAACCAAGTGGCTCACTTGGCATAGTATCAAATAATAGTGTGGAGACCATTAGTCTTCTCCAAAGTACGAGTGGCAAACAAGGTCAAATAAGTAGTAATTACGATGACGCCATGCAGTTTTCAAAGAAGAGAAGATACTTACCAACTGCCAGCAGCAACAGTGCCTTTTCTATAAATGTAGGACACATGGTCTCCCAGCAGTCTGTCATTCAGTCTGCAGGTGTCAGTGTTTTGGACAATGAGGCACCATTGTCACTCATTGACTCCTCAGCACTAAGTACTGAAATTAAGTCTTGTCATGACAAGTCTGGAATTCCTGATGAGGTTTTGCAGAGTATTTTGGATCAGTACTCCAGCAAATCAGAAACGCAGAAAGAGGATCCTTTTAATTTAACAGAACCACGGGTGGATTTACACACCTCAGGAGAACACTCAGAATTGGTTCAAGAAGAAAATTTGAGCCCGGGCACCCAAACACCTTCAAGTGATAAAACAAGCATGTTGCAAGAATACTCCAAATACCTCCAACAGGCTTTTGAAAAATCCACTAATGCAGGTTTTACTCTTGGACACGGTTTCCAATTTGTCAGTTTGTCTTCACCTCTCCACAACCACACTTTATTTCCAGAAAAACAAATATACACTACATCTCCTTTGGAGTGTGGTTTTGGCCAATCTGTTACCTCAGTGTTGCCGTCTTCATTGCCAAAGCCTCCTTTTGGGATGTTGTTTGGATCTCAACCAGGTCTTTATTTATCTGCTTTGGATGCTACACATCAGCAGTTGACACCTTCCCAGGAGCTGGATGACCTGATAGATTCTCAGAAGAACTTAGAGACATCATCAGCCTTCCAGTCCTCATCTCAGAAACTGACTAGCCAGAAGGAACAACAGAAAAACTTAGAGTCCTCAACAAGCTTTCAGATTCCATCTCAGGAGTTAGCTAGCCAGATAGATCCTCAGAAAGACATAGAGCCTAGAACAACGTACCAGATTGAGAACTTTGCACAAGCATTTGGTTCTCAGTTTAAGTCGGGCAGCAGGGTGCCAATGACCTTTATCACTAACTCTAATGGAGAAGTGGACCATAGAGTCAGGACTTCAGTGTCAGATTTCTCAGGGTATACAAATATGATGTCTGATGTAAGTGAGCCATGTAGTACAAGAGTAAAGACACCCACCAGCCAGAGTTACAGGTAAGGTCTCAAGAGTGACCAGGCTGGGGGTCTTCTAACCTAATTTTGTTTTATTTTGAGAACACTGCCATTGGAATGTTTCTACACGATCCTATTAAGAATAATGTAATGCCCTTTCAATGCAACTTTTCATATTTAGTTAGCGTGATTTTAGCTCTGTTTGTATTATGATTTTTAATCAAAATCAATAGATTAAAAATAGTTTGACATTCAAAGTGACAATGTTTAGCAATCAAATTTACATGTATAGATTATCAGGGAATAGCCCAAAAGTTTTAAATGCAAAAAAAAAAAAAAAAACCATAAAACAAAAACTACAGAAAAAAAAAATGAAAAGAAAAAAGAAAAAAAATGAACTTTGTTGCTAGGATTAGGGTCATTCTAATTGCTTTACTCTCAGGAAAGTGTAAGAACGCATGGAGTTCCATACGCTATCACCAGTCATGGAACATCCAATTTACAGATAGTGTGACGACATTTCATCATTTAAGTAACGGATCTTAGACATTTCAAATGCTATCTCCATCTAGGCTGATCCAAAATTCTGAGATTGTTGGCTACCTATATTTTGTTGCAGCTTTTAAACATACTCCGAACTTCCAAACCACATTCATTCCAGCTTGGTAGAACAAATATTCTTGGATCTTTGATCAAAGCCTGGAATGATAGCTTTAATAAAAGAGGAGGAAAAGAAAAAGCACCCTCTTTTCCCAACTATAACAAGGCTGTAATTCCATTAAGTGAGTCTATTGATGTCTAGTACAGTGTTGAAACCAAGTGGTTCCAGTATTAGAAAGTAAGTTGGAGTCACAGAGTCCATTGAAGTTTGGGGTATGCAGTATTTATTATACACGGCCTGAAAACATTGTCTCATTTATGCTATTACATGACACCTTCACTTCTGGGTTTTGGTACTTGTTCTTAACTTCCTCTTAGTTCTGGACCTTCTTGTTCCCTCTTCTCCCTATCTTGATGGTTTCAATTCTAAAATTGAATGGTTTGTCATCCAGTAGATAATTGATTATGCATTTTATATGCCTTATGACTTCCAGATACTAAACAATAGGGTAAACATTGCCCAGCTTCACTTTTTTTTTAAAACAGTACAGATTTCCATGTAAGAGCTACAGATATTAATAGGATTGTTATTCCATCTGGTGGCATAGCTTGTATATGGGATAAAAGTGTGTATTTAGTATGACATCAGAACCTCTTTGTGAAATTGCAGCCTTTAATGTACATTTTGAAGGGGTATATTAGTCAGTATTGTACAGGGATCTTGTAAAGTCATCAAAACTTGCTATGAACGCTAATTGCCATTTGAAGCTACTGATTGGCAGTGGCTCTGCTCTAAACCACTTTTTAGCAATTGTATTTTTTTCCTGATTATATTTTTTAATGTACTTTGATGTTTATGCTGATGAGTTTTTTTATGTACTTTTGGTGATGTTTCAGTCTTATGTACTCTTCTGACGTCAGAAAAGTACCACTGGTTGTTTGCAGTCTTATTGTGTAATCAGCCTACCACAGGCTTCCATGTATAATAAAGTAATTAATATTGTGCAAGTGTAAAACACTTCTGTTATAAAAGCAGTGTTTGGAAAATAAGAAATTATTAAAAATGGTTACAAAATACTAGTTAATTTCCTTTCCCCACCTTCCTCTCTTTAGCTTTGGTAGCTAAAGGTACCGTCATTGAAAGATTCTTAGAAAACGTGTTGAATCCTTTTAAATACACTCAGTACTAAAAAGTCTTTATTTCTTATTAAGTGCGGTAAGTTCTATTGGGTACAGAGTACAAGCTGGAATCAAAGGATGGAAAGGACCTTTACCACTGTATCTCTTAAGCTGTATGATTTTTCTCCATTTTTTTGTTTTATACAAGTTTTGAATTTCTTTAACTTTTATTGTGTGTACTGAATACTACATATGTATTATTCTGATTGTTTGCTCTAGTTTACTACCAATAAAAGTCCTGTTAATCACAAAATTGAAGAAAGGAGATATCACTTAATCAGTTACATTTTCAGTTTTCTGTGGATTACATTTCGTAAAATATTCACTTTAATGGTATAACTTGTAGTTTAGGAACTTGGATTTTTATTGTATTCTTAATGTATTTTGTCTTTCTAGGTTTATATGAAAATACATTGAATATTTTGTGTTTGAGGTTCAGAATAATATAAAGAATAGAAATCTAATATGTAAATTAAAACATGTTATATTGAAACTAGGTTAACTATCTTAAATATTAACTCAAGGGAGATTATTTATTTAGGCTTTATTTAAAATAAGATCCCAGTATTTTTAGCTTAAGGTATTGTATATTCTTTTTGCCTCAGAAAGTTATAATAAAATGAAAATATGGCAGACTTAATGATCTTGAGCGTTTTTAGTAAGAAAACAGTGTTAAATCACAGTTAAAACTCTAATTGAGGGTATAGATGTTAGAAGGAAAAGGCTAGACTGTAAATGTTGACGATGCAGTAAAGGTGTTTGAAAGTAAATATGTTACGTTAAAGGATGGAAGAAAAAAGTTGTACATAACTGAGATTGTAAGAAAATTGTCCTTTGAGGTTTGTTTAGTGCTGCAAATATTAAAAAACTAGGAATAAAAATTTAACAGGGTAGAATAGCTTAGAAATTTTATATATATATATAAATAATGCAGTGTTAGTGTAGGAAAGTAGTGTATTATACATAAGCAATGGCCCATATGATGAAAAGATGTGGCTTAGTTTTCTTTGCCATAGTTATTTCCTAAATTTGGTTATTTCTTGGAGGCAAGTGCTAAGCAGAAGTCTCACTGACTCTGCACTGAGATCTTATTTACAGAACAGTTTATTCTGTCCAGATTAGCCCTTACAGATAATGAAAACTTTTTAAGATCGACTTGCCTCTTTTTTCCATTTTGTGGAATGTATGTGAATTTGATAATTTTTAAACTGAAGGGTTTGTTTGTTTTTTTTTTTTTCTTTTTTTTTTTTTTTGAAACTTTTAAGACATAATATATGGACTGGAAATATAGCTCAGTTGATAGATCATGTGCAAAGCACTTGGGTTGGATCTCCAGCACCACATAAACCAGATGGGCAGTGGGTGCCTGTAAGATGCCCTGGGGAGGTAGAGGCAGAAGGGCCAGAAGTTAAGGGTTATCTTTGGCTACATGGGTTTCAAGCCAGTCTAGGCTGCATGAGGCCCTGGACATGAGGGTCTGAAATCATGAGCAGTGCTTTATGTTGTGCCACATCAGCTCAGGGTTGGCACCTGCCGGTCAGTAGTTTGTAAGGTAATTTAATGAGACCAGAATAACGAACATGAATTTTAATATTTTTGTATTGCAAACAATGATACAAACTTCTACCTCAAATTCTATGTATTACACTAATTAAATGAGACAGGTAGAAGTTCTTATTCCTTCTAATATTGGGGGATTTTTTTTTTCTTTCCGTTCCTGATACCTAGCATTTTGTAGGTGTTAGTAACCTGGCTGTTTAATAGCCTGGCTGGTTGACAGTTTGAACAGTTAACCTCATGAAGACATGTATAACCCTAACCTCCTCATGAAGACATGTATAACTCTAACCTCCTCATGAAGACATGTATAACCCTAACCTCCAGTTCACAGGCTCTTGTTAAACAGACAAACTTCTTTTAGAAGAGAGGGTGGGGGAAAGATTTTGTCTACAAACTATTTTTAGAGAAAACTATATCTGAAGGCTATTATTTTCTGAGTTTAGTGGTCTTCATGTTTTCGTTGATACGTAATGATAGGATTTTGTTCTTAAAAAGGCAAAGCAAGACTCCACTGGTGCTGTGACAGGATCCCTGTGGCATGCTGCAGGAGGCTGTAAGTCAGTTCGTAGAGCTCTTCTAGTTTTTAAGAGGAGGGTCTGGACAGTTTGGTTTTCTGCTTGTACCCTCTATGAGATGCCAGGATTCCTGATGAATTTTGAGGGAAATTATGTTCTCTTGCATTCTTATGTCCTCTACTATTTAAAATGAGCATTAGTATGAAGATAGCCTCTTAGAATTCTGTTGTCTTACCCTTGCATAAGAAAAAAGTTGTAGCCATGTGGTGGCACCTTTAATCCCAGCACTTGGGAGGTGGAGGCAGGTAGATGTTGTGAGATCTGGTCTATATAGTAAGTCCCAGTTGGGGCAACAGGGAGACTTTATCTCAAAAACCAACCAAATTTTAAAAAAAAATCTAAAGAATGTGAGGCTACATAGTTTTTAATGAGGTTATTACCTTAAGAGGACATGTACTTTTAAAATTCTGCTTTCCTGCTTATTTGTTTTGTTCTTAAAAGATAACTGAGTATGACTGACTTTCGTAGATTCTGTCTAAATTCTTAACTCATCAGCTTATGCAAGGAAATAGAACAGTTTTGGGGTCACAGACTCTAGGCAGCTGATAGACTCTATGGCTTCCTTAAATCTGCATTAGCAGGAATCTACATATAGTCCACATGTGTAGAGAGTACTCTGAAAAATAACCTTTTTCTGGACAACAGTTAAGAATGCCTTCCTCAGAATGTTTCCTAAATACTGAAATTTTATTGTACAGATAAAAAGTCTAAAATTTATCTGGTTACTAGGGTTACTTTAAAATTTTTTCATCAGCTTACCATTTATGGAAAACATTCAGGTTACATAAAGCCTTGGGTTTTCATAATAAACTGGTCAAATAAGTTGAGTAGACTTTACAATTTTTTGTGCACTTTCTCATAACTTTACCTTGCAGTTGCTAGACTTGAACAGTTTTCTATCAACAAACGTATTAATACTGTGTAATAGTTACCAAAGTGCTTTAGTTGCTTCTGTGAAGCCCTTCTTAGGTGTGTATTGGCAAAGATGAAAGAAAACACAAATAGCTCACACTTTTTTATGTAGAAATTTAAAATAATACTTAGCTCTTTATAGCACTAAGACTAATTGACCAAGTGTGACTAGGTAGGTTGAAATGTACTGTGTGAGGTGAGACTTGTAAAGCATGTTGCATGTTACAATAGGAATTCTTGACAATTTTAAATAACTGGAGAAAAAATGATTTGGGCCTTATATTTCAAAGGGAGAATTCAAATGTTCCTGTTTGCATATAAATGAGAATGGGCAAGGTGAATATTAAGGAAAGTAAGGGAGACCTTAAAATCCAGAAGGAGAGGAATAAGCTTTGAAGGGGAAATGAAAGTATGAAGTGGGCCACGTTATTAATAGCGGTCTTGGGATTTATCAGAAGGGTAAAGGAGATCTTTGGAAGTCTGTTCTTTGTCATTCTTTCAGTTCAGACTTACTTTGGTACTTTGGTTTGTTATGAACTTTAGTACTATTGTGGAACAATTAATAAATAACTCTTAACAGACAACTGTGGTGAACTTCTGTTTACATTCCCGATCTAGGAAAAAGATGGCTAACCTTTGTGTTTATATATTAAATGTTTAGTAACTCAAGACACAACTTCCATTTGTTGGTAAGAATTTAAGTAACCTATTTTTGCCAGAACAGTCAAAGTGACTGTTATATGTGGCTAAATAAATATGCATAGAACTTAAGAATTAAGATAAAAACTCTGAATCCACACGTCCCACCCACCAAAAAATCCGTTTATACATCTACTATATAAAGGTATACTGTGTTGTGACAGATATTTTTGAGTGATTATGAAAATTTGGAATGCCTTTATTTTAGTTTTGCCTTGAAAAGTTTTTAAATTTTAATTCGTGACTAGCTCATTTGTGTAGTCCATGATTTATTTTTGTGGTATTGGGGATTGAATACATGGTGTTGCATATGGTAGGCAAATGTTCTACCAGTGAGCTATATTGCCAGCTGTGTTCTGGCATATGCCTTTAATCCTGTACCCTGGAGGCAGAAGCAGGCAGATCTCTCTGAATTTAAGGCCAGTCTGGTCTACATAGTGAGCTTCTGGCTGGTTTGTGGCCACATAGAAACAAAACAAAAAGGTCTGGTCTTAGAAGAATTACCTACTGGAAAACTAAAGTTTGAAATAGTATCTAAAGTTTTCATGTCGAGTTTGACAGGAATGTAGTTTTTAAAGTTTGGAAGTGATACTTTCAAATTTTAGAGTGAATTGCAAAATTGAGAGCAGTATATAATCATGTTACGTTTGGTTGTGCATAAACAAGCCATGAAAAGAGAGCTTGCTTTTCTTTTTTCCTTTCTTTCTTAATTCATCCCCCCTCCCCCCCACCTTCTTGTTTGTTTTGTCTTTTTGAGACAGTGTCTCCCTGTAGCCCCAGCCGACCCAGAATTCACTATGTAGACGGATCTGGCCTTGGAACTCAGAAATCCACCTGCCTCTGACTCCCAAGTGCTGGGATTTAAAGGCATGCACCACCATGTTTGAAAACTCCTTTTTGCATTTGAGAACTGCAAATGGGTATCACTATGGGTCTCCATGAATTGTCAACCCCTGACCTTGGTCAGTTTACTGATGGGACTGGAAAACCTTTCTGAGAACTACAGTTTCTGACTTAGTGACCCAAAACAGCTTAAGTGCATGGTATAGGGTTAAAAAGATGACTTGAGATGAGGCCT